AACCCATTATGTTCTTGATTCTACCACAACAATGTGCACACACAGAGCTGTCCCATTCATCCAGTCACCGCGGCATCCAGCCAGCCTGTCCTGCGCCAGCTCACCAAGGGCTCCCTAAAGTGGTGGCAAAACAACACCTTAAAAGGCACCCCCTGGGCCCAAGGTCCCCACCCCCACTCTACCCCAGCCAGGATGTCTGCTTCCTGAAGGAGAACTGTTTCTTTTCTCTAGGCCATTGGTCAGCAGCCAGTGTTTAAGACGCAGGCTTGCCTTGCCAATCATTGTTTAAAGCAAAACAAAAGAAAGCCAATCCCAAGCTCCCTGCTTGACAAGGCAGCCTGGACCGCCCCCCCCCCCCCCCCAGCCGAGGCTGCAGCTTGCTCCACTGACCCGCTGACCCCAGGCCCTGGACCCGCATCGCCACCACCACTGCTCCCAGGACCCCATCCAGCTGCAGCAACACAGCTGCCTGAGGACGTTCTCTGGGGGCCTCGGTTCTTGGGGACACAGCCTCCTGAATCTGGCCCAGAGAGTCGGCGTCTGGTGCAGGCATGGTCCTAGGTCTCAGCCGCCCCCCAAAGGCTTGTAAAGTGAGGCACCCCAACCCCAAAAGGAGGTTCAGACCTCAGCAGCCAGGAAAGGTGCCGGATGTCCACTGTGCCCCCTGCATTGCCCACACAGAGCTACTGGTCCCTGACCTTCCTCCCTCCTGCCAATTCTTAGGATTCTGGACCTTTTATTTTATGCAAGCCTTAAACCGAAACCCGAGACTGGCACGATTCCCATGGTCTTCAAAGACCCAAGTACGGCCCTGGCTGGCGTGGTTCAGTTGGTTGGAGTGTCGTCCCAGGCAGCGAAAGGTTGCTGGTTCAATTCCCGGTCAGGGCGGTCAGGGCACATACCTAGGTTTCGGGTTCAGTCCCTGACATTCAGGAGGCAACTGATCGGTTTCTCTCCCTTGCTCGCTCTCCCTCCTTCCTCTCTCTCTCTCTCTCTCTCTCTCTCTCTCTCTCTCTCTCATCAATAAAAACAAATCCTAGGGTGAGGATTTAAAAAAAAAAAGACACCAAAGACCCCAGTACTTAGGTACTTAAGTGTTCCACAGGTGGCTGCTGGGTTTGGCCCCTCATGAGCCCTGCTGCACCCACAGCTCCCTGCACCCCTCCCTCTTAGGGGTGGAACGCCACAGTAATGAGGTCATGGTTATATTAGGCACTTATGTGTACCAGGCTTTGGGCTCAGGGTTTCACACGCAGGATTTCAGCAAATCTTCACACCCACCGTAGGGGGGAGGGGTGCCATTATTCTCTCTATTTACAGCTGAGGAGATTGAGATTCAGAGAGGCTGAGTGACCTACTCAAGGTCACAAAGCCGCTAATTGGCGAAGCCAGGCAGAATTCAAACCCAGAACTGTCAAATGCCAGACTGTGCATGCTTAACCACTTCACGATTCTGGTACCCCGAGATATTCCACGTGCTTCCTTCTCTTCTCCCACCCTGCCTCCCCTGGTGCAGTTTCTGAGCAATGCAGGGGCCAGGGAGGGCATATCCTCCTGACCTTGAGAAGCGGCCGCCATAGAGCATCCCCACCTGCCTTTCCATTGGCCAGTCCAGCCTGGCCTGGAGGTCATGCCTTCTCCTCAACTGAGTTATTCTTCACTTGGTGTTAGAAAGGATGTAAACAGAGCAGGTGCGTCTATATTTCCCTGTGCTGATATGAAGCCGAAGGAAAGGGAGGCACGCACAGTGGTTAAACCGCAAGGAGCCAGAGCCATATTTCCAAGGTCTGACTCTCCACCTACTAGCCGGCCGCTGACTAGCAGGAGACCTTGGGCAAGAAGCTTAGCTTCTCCCTGCCTCCGTTTCCCCAGCTATAAAACCGAGATCATAGACTTCATTGCACAGGGTCGCTGTGAGGACAGGATGCAAAGAGTTAGTGCCTGAAGCCACATTGAGCTGGGCATGGAAGGAGGGGCATGCCCAGGGTATCCTCTCCCGGGCTGCAGCCTGACCCCTCTCAGGGCTGGGCGTGTGAGCCAGCGCCGTCTTTGACCTGCTGGCCTCTCCTACTCATGCGAGGCCCTCTACCAACACCCTGTGCTTGAGCTCCTGCAGGGGCCCTCCTGCTGGAAGTCCTCCTGACTTGGCAAGCTGACAAAGCGCCAGTCAGGCCATTGTCAGAGGGCGTGTGCCTTGTGCCGCCCCCCAAATGGAGCATGTCTTCTCTGTGGTGGTGCCCAGCTCCAGGGTGGGCTGACTGGGGGAGGGGGATGTTTAGGGAGCTTTCGCTGGGTGCCTGGTTTTCTTCCTCACAACAAAGATGCAAGGTCGCTGTTAGTTACCATGGTCCGCAATGAGGACGCTGAGCCTTGGAGAGGCCTCCTCAGGTATCAGATTTCATGCCAGTCTCCTCAGGAGCAGAAGTTTGGGCCATCAGAGAAGTGCATGGCAAAGCCCGCAAAGCTGGCTGAGCACAGCCCTCAGAAGGACTTTTGGAGCTGACCTGACACCTAGTGGCCACAAGTGGGAATTACTCCACCACTGGGAAGGCTCCAGGGCTGATGCAGGCAGGTTTGGGGCTTGGCGTCCTTCACTTACTAGGTGATGACAGTGTCTGTGGGTGGTCTGGGGGTGGGGATGGGGTGGGGGTCGGGGTTGGCGGGGGTAGATTTCCGCTTTCCTGTATCTCCATCATTCTCCAATAGCTACCCAAGCAGAAAATAACATTTGGTCAAAAAAATTGCTGCCTTTTCATTTTTATGCAAAAGATAAATAAAAGCATCTTGAGCAAACGGTGTTTTTTACTGATCTATAACCCACAGTTGCTAACACGTTTTGATGCTTTATGGCCTCGTTGTCCTCAGGGTTCTACCCAGACACCAGCAGTGACTGGATGCTCACCCACAGGCAGGGGACTTGGTGGAGAATTTTATGGATCGTAACAGACTTAAGAGACGTGGTCCCTGGCTTCAAGCGGATTTGATTTATCTGGGGAGTTGGAGTAAAGACATCTACAGGTCCTGCTGGGTATGGTGGGTGCGAGTTTCAGCCCATGACTTCCTTGTTGTATTTCTTTCTTTTCTTTTCATCCTCCTAATTCTGACTCGAGCCCCACCAGTGGTCGGCAAACTGCAGTTGGCGAGCCACATGCGGCTCTTTGGCCCCTTGAGTGTGGCTCTTCCACAAAATACCACGTGCGGGCACACACGTACAGTGCGATTGAAACTTCGTGGCCCATGCGCAGAAGTCGGTATTTTGTGGAAGAGCCACACTCAAGGGGCCAAAAAGCCTCATGTGGCTCGCGAGCCGCAGTGTGCCGACCACGGCCCTGTACCATCAACTTCAGGGGAAGACTCTGAATAAGGACGGGAAAGGGGAAAACATGCTGTGGGAAGGGGACATCCGTCGTTTCAGTCACGATTCTGCCGCAGATGTGGAGAGGCCTGGGCACCCCCCCCCCCACCTTGCAGCAGAGTGACACTGCTGAGTGACCCAGGGCTTGATTCCTGGGTGCCGTCCAGCACACCTCTGCTGCCCTGAAGTGCCAGCTCCTGGACACCCCCGACTTCCCCAGTTTCCCCCGACTCGCCAGAAACAATTGCCAGGTGAATGTGTCTGTTCACGCCACAGGTCTTTATTGAGCATCTACTATCTGCCAGGCACCATGCGGAGCTACCGGGATGTCAGAGACAGTTCCTGCCGTTCTTCATCCGCAAAGGTAACTATGAGGTTAACCGAGACCCTTTAAGTTACCCCCCCCCCCCCGCCTCGCCCTGCCTCCCTTGCTCAGAGTATGCTGTACTTGGCTATTTTGCTCAGCTCCTCATGTGTCCCCAGTTTCCCAAAAAACGTGGAGTGGGAGGTCCCTACAACCGGTTGCAGCTGTCTCACTTCGCAGGTGGAACCATGAGGCTCCAGGTGGCCGGGTAGTGCCGGGCCTCACCAAGAAGCCAGGCCTCTCCGCCTCCCAGCCTGGCTTCTCTTCACGTGACCCCTCGGCATTTGCTCCTGAAGACCCTGTCTGCATCTCCTGGGCGTCTGTTCCCTCTGCCATTGCTTCCCGCACCTCGAAATCTCTCCCCTCGACAGTTCACAATCACTATGACCACACGACGTCTTTATGCATTGGCCTCCTCCCCACGGCTCTTTCCCTGCCGCCTAGCAACCCCACTGCATCCCCAGTGTGTCCTCCTGGTTCTTAAAGAGGCCCTCAAGGACACGCTCCCTGAAACCAGAGGGCGCTCCCCTGGGAAGGGTGCACCAGCAGCAGCCCAGTGACGCGGAGATCAAGCCAGACTTTATTGGCTCTCTCCCAGTCCTGGCCTCGGTGTTTGTCCACTGGAGTCTCAGCCAGCTCTCCTCCTCCTCCTCCTCCTCGCCGCTGGCCGATTTGCCAGGACTTCTTTTTCACAGAAACTTCTTTCCAGGACAGACTTGTTGCTATGGCTTCACCACTTCCAAGACACTGGTTTGAAAGGTAAGGGGATAATGTTGCGCCAATGCAGCCTCCCGGCTGACGGAGAGAACGTTCAGGCTCAGCTCCAAGCGAGACCACTGGGAACCCATCTCTCAGCTTGCCAGAGCACTGCACATGGGTGAGGTTCGGGGTGGGCACTGGGGAGGAGCAGAGAGCTGGGTTCCGTTGTTGGCCAGGGTTTGGCAGTAGATTGAAGTTTAGAATGTGCACACCCCACATGTTGTTAAGTGGTTAGATGTTGTTAAGTGGTTAGAGCATTGGCCTGCACACCAAAGGCTCACAGGTTCGATTCCTGGTCAAGGGCATGTACCTGGGTTGCAAGTTCAATGCCTGGCCCCAGTTGGGGTGGTGCAGGAGGCTGGCAACCAATTGAGGTGTCTCTCTCACATTGATGTTTCTCTCTCTCTCTCTCTCTCTCTCTCTCTCTCTCCTTCCCTCCCTCCCTTCCTTCCACTCTCTCTAAAAATCAATGGAAAAATTATCTTCGGGTAAGGGTGAACAATAACAGCAATAAGGAATGTGCACACCCTTTGGCCAGCAATCACACCAGGCCTGCACCACCGAGTGTGTGTCTGAGAACACACGTGTGTGAACACTGCATACAAAAGGACATTGGTGACAGTATCACCGTAGTCACAACACAGAAAATAAATGCCATCATCACTAGCACGGGGTGCGTGGGAATTCAGGCACCTGTGCCTGTTTGGTGACTGGCAGAGGCTGGCACCTGGCTGGGACTCACGGGCGTCAGTTATCGTTATTACTGTTGTCGCAGCCCTTTCCTATCTCTTCAAGGCCTCCAGCCTGAGTCACAGCCTGCGTCACTCCCTAAGCCACAGCAGCATGGGACGGCCCGCAGTTCCCCTGCCCGGCTCACACGCCAGGGCATGGACCTGACGTCCCTCTGCCCTCTCCTCTATGTCCGTGTGACACCCCCCTCACCATGCCAGGGCCTAATCACTGCTCCCTGTCACCTCCTATCTGCTGTGAGCACTGTGTCCCCAGAATCAGGCTCGCAGCCTGCCGTGTGTAGTTGAGCCCGAAGCTTGGCCAAGGGAGCCAGCGGAACATGAGAAGGAGGGTACCCAGGGGGCAGCCGTGGGAGGGGGCAAAGGCAGCCTGCTATGCAGGGGAGACCAGACCTAATGCCATGCAGACGGGGTGGCCTCTGGAGCTCAGGGGTGCTTTCTAGAGCAGCGGTCGCCAACCTTTCGGACCTCACGGACCACCAATGGTCTGTGGCCCACCGGCTGGAGACTGCCATTTTAGAGAGCCGAGGGCCCTCTGGGACAGAGGCTGGTTGGGGCCCGCCGCGGGCCTGTGCTGACCTGAAGTTCACGTTGCCATTCTTGTCATCCAGCCGCTTGATCAGCTCCCTGATTTGGAACCGGTTTAGGGGGATCTTGTTTTGCTGAGGAGGTGGGTGGAACATGTGAGGTTAATGGAGCTCTCAGCTTACCTGCTCTCCAGCCCCCTACATACATGCATGTGCACACACATGCACATGCACACATGTGCAGGCACACACACAGTGCCCAGGGGCACAGGGATAAGCGCACCTGTATCATGGCTTTCAAGAAATCGCTCACAGGCATCTTCATCATCCCAGTAGGGGTCAAGCTCTTGAAGAAGTCCAGGACCTTGATCTTGTTCTGGTCAGCATAGCTCTGAGGGAGGGAGACACCAGGAGCGGATGCTTGCCCATGTAACATCTCTAACACTCCCCCTCCCCGCCCAGACCCAGCAGGCCACGGGGGCGTGTGACGAGACAGTCCCAGGAGCTCCAGTCTCCCGCATGTGCGTCATTTAAGACCAAGAGTCCTGTCTGCACAGGGCACCGAAGGAATGGGGCAGTGACTGTTCATGTGCATTATTTCGTTCTGAAGTTGCCTCTGCTAAGACTCGTGCAGATGGTGCACTGTGGGCAGTGGGCGAGCTGGTGTTGGCTTAGAGTCCAGAAGCCAACCACAGCCACGCTGTGTGACGGGCAGGTCTGGTTCTCAGAATTCACTTAATTCTCATCATTTCACACAGATGCTTACACTGTGTTAGAGTATTTTAAAAATAATGTTTAATTTAAAAAAATATTAGCCACTCACATTGTAAGGTGATTTTAGATTAGTAGAAAGAAGAAAATGAAAAAATAAGTCATAAATCCAATCCCACTATCCAGAGGTAACATCTTGATGTGTACCCTTTCACCTGTCTGTCTGTCTGTCTATCTATCTATCCATCTATCTACCATCCACCCCGCCACCCATCGTTTTTCTACTGTACATACTGGTTTATGAAATGCTCTGTGCCAATACACTGTGAACACCCTTTCAATACCATTAAAATATTCTTTTGGGGTCCTTGTTTAGTATCTTTGCTCACCTGAATCCTTGATCATCAAGGCCCTTCCCAACCCTATCTCTGCCAGGAAGCATCCTTTTCTGTTTACCAACCCTACATACCCTCTAATCTGGGCTCTGATTATCTTTGCTGCTTTGCCGCTTATTATCTATAATAATAAAAGCATAATAAGCTAATTAGACCAGACATCCTTCCGGACGTCCTTCCAGACGACCTTCCGGATGAAGCCGGGGCTGTAAGGGAAGCCGGTGCTGGCAGCCGGGGGAAGGAAGGCCTACTCTTGCACAAATTTCATGCATCGGGCCTCTAGTCTACCATCTGACCCTTTCTATTAGCAGTTACTGTATCTGTCCCATTTTCCAAACCCGCTCGTTGGCCCCTGAGGGAAAGGGCTGCATCTCACGCTGCGTGTGGGGCTTGGTCTTGACTAGATTCCTTCTCTGTGCTGTTGGAAACAAGGGGCAGGCCCCCACTTTGCATCAGATAACGCCATTCCTGCTCACTGGACATCCTGCTTCCCTTGCAAAACAGGTTTCCCCTCGGTGCCACCCGAGGTCCTCTGACCTAGAAAGATACTTGATACCCCTTTGCCTTTTAGAACTTTGGGGTGACAGACAGCGGAGGACAACCAGGCCTGGGGCTGGATGCTGCTCTGAGGAGGTCAGACCTGAGGAGCTCTACTACCCCCAGTGGCTCTAATAGTCTAATACCCCTAGTAGCTCGAGCAGGCTCTGATTTTTTATTTTCACTGTTACATCTGCCTCTTGTGATTGCCAGAGACGATCTAAGACTCAAGCCAGGTTACCACTAGATGTAAAGGCCTTGAGGGTCCCTCTTTCGCTGAAGCCACCACATGGCTGTCCTGACCACAGGGGTCTTGGTGTTCTTACCAGCTGTTGGAAAGAGCCCACATTTACTGGGTGCTTATTATGTGCCAGGCGTCGTTCTAAACACTTCACGCACATTCTAGAATTTAATCTTCACAGCATCCCTGCGAGGGTGTGTACTTTCGTTGTGCCCATTTTACAGGTGAAGAGATTGAGGCACAGAAAGCTTCAGTGACCTGCCTTTGGCCCTACAACAGCCAGGGGAGGAGCCTGGCTGGTAGAAACCACCCTGGTCCACGCCCCTCCCACTTGAGCCAGCTCTCAGCTGTCCCCTCCTGCAGAGGGCTCCGGGAATCCACAGGGAATATGCCTCCTCTGAGGGTCCTTGTCAGAGAGGATTGTGCAGACGCCTTGGGGGGGGGGGGGCAGAGGACAGCTCTCTGCAGGGGTCCCCTGTGGGGCTGAGAGGAAAGCAGGGGCTCACCTGGATCAGTTTCATGGGGTTCGGATACTGGATGATGGATTTCTTGGCAGAGAGGCCTTGGATTGCCTTGTAGACCACGTCCAGCTGGGGGTGGATGGCATACACCCCATCTAAGAATTTCACAAATTGCTCGGACACCATCACATTCTGGAGCAGGGAGAGAGGGGACCCATCATGGGAAGGGGGCCGCCACTGCGCCATCCTCCTGCCCAGACCAGTGTCCCACCCAAGCCAGCCAGAGGGCCGGCCGCGTCTCCTCCAGTTCGTCCCGCCATGCAGTTCCTAGAGGGGGTGGTTCACATAGTTTAGAGCTTGTGGTTTAACTCGTGCGATTCCCGCGTGATGGATCGGATGTTCTGTCTGTGTGCTGGGGGCTCACCACACTGGGCCATCTCAATGCTCTCAGACGGCAAGCCTAACTGTCTGCGTGCGGCCATGCGATGCAGCGATGGGGCTGCAGACGGGCCCATCCCTGTGCCAGTGCTGGTCTTCAGAGCAGATGCCCTGGAAGAGGACCCCTCATGCCCACCCCCTGGGCCCGGCTCAGCCCACACTGGGAACTCCCCGAAGGAAGTCCCCTAGACCCGGGGGTTACAGGCCGCAGGAGGAGGTGTGTTCCGTGAAATAGGTGAAATAGCGTTGGAGCAAACCTGGCCGCCCTGGGGGAGATTAACCTGCTTCATTCCTCAGGGTTGGTTCTGAGTATCTCCTGCCTTTCAAAGACTTAAATCCATGCTTAAGGGCTGAAGACTTACTCTTTTTGTAGGTATTCTAGAGAAAGGTCTAGAAGCATCTACAGTGAAGGAATTCCAACACCACAGGGTTATGGCAGCATAAATGCCAACAGGGAAGAGAAAGGCTAATTCAGACCTTCTGGTTCTGGTAGGATTGTGGGGTTTTGTTTGTTTTAGTAAAGCAAGCTAGAATTTATTGACCACAGCAACCCCCCCCCCAAAAAAAAAACAACAACAAAAACTCCCCCCCAAAACCACTGAGGACAGTGAAACAAAGAATGGCCTGGAAGAAGCTACAGGAGAGCCTAGGCTGGCTGCTTCGGCTCACCGGGAAGTCAGAGAAAAGGGGGTCTTGGAGACAAGTTCGGGGGGAGCCTGGATGAGCTGCTGCTGCCCATTGCTGCCCTGGTTGCAAGTCTCATGGGGTTCCTTGAGGTCCCTGGGGTTTAGGAGATGTGTGTTTGGGGGTGGGGTGGGGGAGGGAGAGAGGGAAGGGAATGGCACAGGTGTGCTCCCTCCTGGGAGGCTTGTTTAGTGGCAAAGTGACCCGAGTTCATGGGCTGTATGTCGTCTGGAGCCGAAACAGCACCATGTCTGACATTCCCTCAGACACACCAAGGCCGGGCCTGGCTCCATCCTCTCCAACCAGCTCTGTGGGAGGGAAAACCAAATATCCACAAAATCTGGACCCGCGGCTGGGACTCAGAGGCAGGGCGGAGTGGGCGCACATCAGAGCTGGGGGTGAGGGTGCAGAGCGGGCCTCCGAGGAGAAAGGGGTGAGGGGACAGAGCCCAGGAGCCTGGGGCAGGAGGCAGGGGTGAGGAAAAGAGAAAGTAGGGACGTGTTGATAGTGTTTCATAATCTGTGGCAAACATAAACTTATTATTCAGTTCCAAGGAACCTGGGTTTAAATATTCAAAATGTCATCACGGCTATCATTGCAAGGCGTCAATGGCTTAGCAAAACGTATTTGTGTGGCATTAAAAAATGTCCCTCTGTGCCTTCTTAGAACTCCAGAGTAGGAGGCAGAAGCCCTGGCTTTCCTCCCTGCTGTGATTCTCACTTGCTGTGCGGTCCTAGCCTCTCTGTTTTAGTTTAATTATATGTAAAATGGGAAAATGAGGGAAAGTTCTTGTTATGGGTTGAATTATATTCCCATTATATATATATATATATATATACTAACCCTCCATACCTGCGCATGTGACTGTATTTAGAAATAGGGTCTTTGAGTTAAGATGAGGTCCTTAGGGTGGACCTACTCTGATACCACCAACAACCATTGGGTGTTAGGAGAGGGGCACAGAACAGATTCTCCCTCTGACCCTCAGATGGCGCCAACCCTGCCTTCTAGCTCCCACAATTGCGAGACAATAGACTTCTATTGTTTAACCACCCAGCTCGCAGATCTTTGCTACAGCAGCTCTGGGACCCACCTCCCGGAGTAGGATCCAGTGAGCTGGCAGGTATAACATCACTTTGGGGGAAAAAGAGTATAAAGTGATAGACGAGTGCAGGACATGGTTATTCTCAGCTACCACCTCTAGGATGATTCAGGCGGGAGAACCTGGCAGAGTGAAGTCACTTCCTCAGGCTTTCCCTGTCCACCAAGGGATTTCTTAACTGTAGCCTCAAACACTGCTCTGAGTAGAGTAGGCTACGTTAGGAAATGAAAATGCAAGTCTGTCCACGCTCTATTACTCAGATGTTCAAAGCCCTGTGATTCTGGAGCCTTTCAGGGATGCGGGGCCATCAATCAGGACGGCTGACGGACGCTCTGCCCTGGGTCCTCCGGCCCTTTCCCGCCATTTCTGCACCTGAGCTCGGCCTGCTCTCAGGTGTGCAGGGCCCTGGTCCAGGGCCGGGTAGATGATTTCTCACTCCCGGCCACTGACTGACAGCTGCTCTATTGAAAGGACCGCTGGAGGGGGCAGAGTTGCGCCCCAAAAGGAGGGACCTTTGCAGGGAGCTTTTGTGTGAAGGCCTCTGAGGGGCGTGGCTATTGGCACCTGCGGACGCGGGTGCAAGCGACTACCATCTGATTACTCACGGAAATGTCAAGGTTTTCCATCTTGGATTTGGGGTTCTTCTTGATGGACATGATAAGTGACACAGCTCCCTCCATGTTCATAGGGTTCAGGAAAAGCTGTGGGAAGGGGGGCGACACAGGAAGAGGCCGAGGCGGGGACAGGAGGGGCTGGCTCAGGGCCCGGCTCCCATTTCTTTCCATCAAATCGCAGTCTCTGTTCCACCCAGACATCTCTGTAAGCACCTTTTCCCTGCCTGTCTTTTTGTCCGATCTTCCGCCCTCCCACCCACCTGGGGAATTGCTGCTCAAGCTACGCTCTGAGGCAGGAAGCAGTGAAGGCCAGGGGAGGACATCAGCTGGGGAAAGAGTCCTGCAGGCCCAGCACAGCCGTGAGCAAGGCCCTGGCAGGACCACGGAGATGGAAGGAGACCCCGAGGCCTTGGGGGGAGCGAGGGATAGCATGGGGTGAACTGAGGTTGGAGAAGCACACAGGGCCGAGAGACCTGGATTTGCGCAGCAGGTGGCCACAGAAGGGGTCTAAGCCGCAGGGGAGTAGGTGTCGGGGGAGGTGGTGGAATCATTTATGCCCCAGGGCCTGCAGGAGACCCACACGGGAGGAAGGGAGACCAGTTAGGGGATGACTACTGTACGCGCACCAGCTGAGAGCAGCGGGGGATCCTGGGTTTGTAGCAGCGAGGCAGCCGAGAATATACGCACATGTGAAGCACAAGGCACATTTCACAGTGATTCTCCCGGGCAATATCCAGCCCCATCACCCTGCACCCATCCCCACACATGACACACGCACACCTACACACGATGCACTGATACATACCTGGATGCACACCCATGGACGCACACACACAGACGCACACGCAAAACGGCCCGTTCCCAGCCAGGTAAAGGCTCTACCTTCAGAGTTCGGAGGCACTCGTTGAACTCCAGTCCTTTGCTGAGTTTGATGATCCCTTCGTTGCTGATGTCATTGTTGCTGACATCTAGGTAGGCCAGGGAGCTGTTGGATTTGAGGGCCTCCCCTAGGGCCGCAGCCCCCTCGTTCCCAAAGCCATTCATGGAGATATCTAGTGTCTTCAGGGTCACGTTGGACTCCAGGGAGGGGGAAAAGAGCACCGGTATCAAGGGGCATCTATCCCCGGTCGGCATCCAGGCTGGGGACTCAGTGGTCCCTGGAGAGAGGTCTCGGCCAGCTCACCCCCGACCTCCCAGCTGCACGCAGTCTCAACAATACATTCCTGTTGGGTTCTGGTCATTCCCTACTCCATCATTAAACTGCTCCCTTGAAGTACTCCCAAAGATGCCACTAGGCCCTAGCAGGGTGGATTCTCCTGGACAGGATTTATGCTAAAGAATAACGTGCATCCAGGAATTGTGGGAGGGAGGCCAACAATGGGAAGAGCTCAGTATATCCGCATCAGTGGCGACCATGAGGAAGAGTTCAAGAGGGCGGGGGGGCGGGGGGGCGGGGCGGGCGGGGCGGGCCCTCCCTCGCACCCCCACCCTCCCACCTTTACCCTGTCACCCTTCACCCCTCACCCCCCGCTCAGCACACCACTCCCAGGGAGACCTTACCCGGAGACCGTTGCTCAAGGACACAGCTGCCCGTGGGCTTAAGTGATTCCAGCTCAGGTCCAGTGTCTGGAGCCCTACGTTGAGGGCTGGAGAGGGGGTGGGGGATCAACTTAGCATCCCCTGCCTTTCAGGGGACCCACTCTCAGGGTTGGCAGAGAGCGATGCCATTGGGAATAAGGAGAGCTCAGTGCTCATAAAAAGGAAAACGCAGAGGTAACATTTGTTCAGTGATTCATTTAAACACAACATCGTGAGATGATTTCCAGTGCTGCCAACGATGCCGTAAAATAATCCTACTCAGGTATCGCAGGTGGCAAGCAAGTTAATACCATCTATTTGGCAAATATCATCTAGTCCCAAGTATTTTCCTATAAACGTGTGTGCACCCTGTCACACAGCGGAATCACCTCTGCGACTCCTCCCAAGGAGACAGGCTGTGAGAAGGGCGGCATGCTTGTAGCTGTTTGCCATGGCATCACTTTTACAAGTAAGGCTCGTGACTCAGGGGGGACGGGTCAAGTGCAGCATAAATATCCACCTGGTGGGATGGTGTGCATTAAAGTAGAGGGAGACAGCCTGGAAAATAGGAGCCGTGTGCACAGAGGGAGGTTGTGATCGCATGGAGCGCTACATCCTGCGATGTCGTTCACATGGAGACCTGCAGGGGGCAGTGGTGGGTCCAGACTTTCTATTTCGTTCAGCTTTAGGGACACAACCCCTTGGAAGTAGCGAGGCATCAGGCTTGTCTAGCTGCCAGGTTTGCATGGAACTTGCACTAGTTTTTTAAAACTTAGAGATTATTTTGTTTAAATGCTATAGGGTGTCCCAAAATTCACGCAAGATTTGAATTTTGCGTGAGCGTTAACAACAACAACAAAAAATAAAAGCCTAATTTTACTTGGTTTATTGAATCAGATTCTAATATCTGTTGCCCTTTGATTTCAATCCCTTCAATTTGATAAGCATTTCCAAGTACCAATTATGGCCCAGGAGCAGGGACAATGAAGACCAATGAAGACCACGGCTTTGCGTGTGTGCCAGCAAAGCCGTGGAGGCCATTTACCTGATGTGCTAGTCCATACATAACCCTATACTGTATGCTTTATGAATCAATAAAAATTTTACAATTTTTAATTATAAACCTGTGTTTTCTATCAAAATTACTTCTTGTGTGAATTTTTGGACACCCAACCATGGGGCTGGGAAAACATCCTATTTGAACACCTGATCATTGTAAGTTTTGTTTGGGACGAGGTGAGATAGAGGCGGGTGTAGGTAGAGTTGAGTACATGGGCATCACTCTGATTCCTGGGTCATACCCTTGTCCCATGGTTTTAAATACATCTACATGCCTTTGGACCCCAAATGTATTTGTCCAGCCCCAACCACACTCTAAACTCACGTAGCAAACTGCCTACCCGATGTCTCCATTACAAACATTACGTGGCCCGAATGGGAATCTTGCCTCCTAACTCCTGCTCTTCTAGCCCTGTGACTCCCTGAGTTTTCCCCATTTGGGTAAATGACACCCATTCAAACCAGTACCTGAAACAAAATAATCACCAGTCTATCTTTTTCTTTCCCTCATTCTTCAGGTCAACAAGTCCTTTTGGCTTCGCTGCCAAAATATACTCTGACTCCATCCCCTCTCCATCGCCTGCTCCCTTAGCCCACGCATCATCCTCCGGCCTCCTCGTTGGCCTCCCTCCTCCCGTTCTTGTTCTCCTCGGTTGCCTTCAACAGAAGTTCTAAAACTGCAAATCAGACCGCATCATTCCCCACGTTCACATCCTTCACCGACGTCTCATCGCAGGAGAATCAAGTCCAGACGTCGTGCATGTCCAAGTCCCACAAAACTGACGCAAGTGGCTGCAGGCCACCTCGATGACCTCTTGTCTTTCCATTCTCCTCCACTGTCCACTCTGCTCCAGCCACCCTGTCCCCTTCCCCCCACCCACGGTCCTCGAATATGCCACGCTCTGTTCTTTCTGCCCGGAATGCTGAGCTTCTAGAACCTAGCACGGCTGTTTCTTATTTATCATATTTAGGCTTCAACAGAAATCCACCTTCCCTGTGGGCCTTTCTCTCATCACCCCACCTCCACCCCCACCCTCAGTGCCCTCCCCCGTCTACTCCTTTCCCCAGGGATGAACATTTAGGAGCTATTATTTTTTTCTTTTATAACAAGTTTGCAAGGAAACTCCTTAGACATCTGTGTGTGTGTGTGTGTGTGTGTGTGTGTGTGAGAGAGAGAGAGAGAGAGAGAGAGAGAGAGAGAGAGAGAGAGAGCGCTCTGAGACATGGAGAAGTGAATTGCTGCATCCTAGAATATACACATTTTCAATTTACTCAATACTGTCAAATTGCTCTCCAAAGTGCCTTTACCTGGCAGCTTCTGAAGGTTATTTATCCCTGTGTTCACTGCACTGTGAATTCTCTGACTTGAACGTTTTGCAGCTTTGACAGATGACAAGGGGGAATCTTTTTGTTGTTCTATTAATGACATTTCTCTAATTATCAAAGAGGTTGGGCATTTGGCTTTGATTTTTCATTGTCCATATGCCTTGACCACTGTTTATTTTTAAATTTTTATTTGTATTGATTTCAGAGAGGAAGGGAGAGGGAGAGAGAAACATCAATGATGAGAATCATTGATCAGCTGCCTCCTGCACGCCCTCTATTGGCGATTGAGCCTGCAACCCAGGCATGTGCCCTGACCGGGAATGGAACCGTGACCTCCTGGTTCATAGGTTGACACTCAACCACTGAGCCACACTGGCCGGGCCTGACACTGTTTTGTTTTGTTTTGTTTTGGAGTGTTTATCATCATCCAATTGACCTGTAGGATCTTTTATCAACATTTTGAACACTAACCTTTAATATTCTACAAATGCTGCAAATATCTACTTCTGACTATTACTTGTCTTGTAACATTGCCCACAATGTCTTTGATCATCCCCCGTTTTAAACCTATTGTCAAATATACAGATAATTTTTGTTATGGTTTATAGTCACTGTGCCTATGTAATAGGCATTAACCTCTCTGAGATCAGCAAACTCTTTCTCTAGATGAGTGGTTCTCAGCCTTCTGGCCCTTTAAATACAGTTCCTCATGTTGTGACCCAACCATAAAATTATTTTCGTTGCTACTTCATAACTGTAATGTTGCTACTGTTACGAATCATAATGTAAATATCTGATATGCAGGATGGTCTTAGGCGACCCCTGTGAAAGGGTCGTTCGACCGCCAAAGGGGTCGCGACCCACAGGTTGAGAACCGCTGCTCTAGATGTTCTCCTAATCATGTTAAAGTTTTACCTCCCACATTTACAATGTATTTTGGGTGTGGTCTCTTCTACAATGAGAACACTCAATAGCGACAACAACAGGAGATGCAGCTCTGACAAGAGATTGTTTGCCAGGTCCCTCTCCTTTGCCAGCCCCTCCCTCCGTGGGGACTCACCCAGCATGCTTCCCAGGAACTCCCCGTCCTTGTCAGAGAATTCGTTGTGGCTGAGATCCATTTCCTTAATTCTGTAATTGGCCTGGGGAAAAAGCAGTGGACAGAGCGGTACTGTGGGGCTTCCATGGGACTGCAAATGCCTCCCGTATCCTAGGTCAGTGGGATGGGGGCTCCCACATACCTAGAACGAGGGGGACTAGGGTTCTTACACTGAAGACAATTTCGTGTTCATCTTTTTGTGTGACTGTTGATGACACCTGGGCGAGTTTATTGCCATCCAAAAACAGTCCTACCACCTGCTGTGGCTTTGGCCAGGATGGGCAGAGTCCAAACATTCCCCAGCGCCCTATACCATGCATTTCCCTAGACCCAGGCCTCCAGGGACATCTCCCACCTGGCTCAGCGGTACCCACCCCCTTGCTTCTTACCGACAGGGCCTGGCAGAGCAGCTCTGCAGATTGGTCCTTGAACTTATTTCCTGTCAGGAAGGAGGGCATGATCAGTGCTCTCCAGGCAGGGCTCCCTTGCCCTCCCACAGCCTAGCTCTGCCAGTCTCTTCCCCTTGGAACAATCAGATGTAGAAAAAGTGGCAAGTACTCAAAGCAAAAATATGGACACAGAAGAAAACAGGAGGAAAAGGGAAACTATTTACCATCCCGTTTGACATTCTCTTCTTGCTCTGCTGTGACTGTCAGGGGAGTTCCAGGAGCAGGAACACTATACCCTGTGCATTGCTGGCAGCATCAACCCCTAGCCTAGTGCCTAAAGTCTGTAACAGTATAAAACATGCTACGATAGCCCAGCCGGCATGGCTCAGTGGTTGAACATTGACCTATGAGCCAAGAGGTCACATGCCCAGGTTGCAGGCTGGATCCCCAGTGTGGGGCGTGCAGGAGGCAGCCGATCAATGATTCTCTCTCATCATTGATGTTTCTATCTCTCTCTCCCTCTCCCTTCCTCTTTGGAATCCATAAAAAATGCTGATATAGTCTAAGCAGCAGAGACATGCCGGAAGGGGACGAGTGGGGCACTTGCCTTTGTGTGCAAAATCTAAAGGGCACTGAAAGGCTCAGTAATCTCAATGAATAATATTTTAACATTTAAAAAAGTCCAAAACCAATGCAGAACCATCCTATATAATAAAAGGGTAATATGCAAATGGACCGAATGGCGGAACGACAGTCACTATGATGCGCACAGACAACCAGGGGGCAGATACTCAATGCAGGAGCTGCCCCCAGCCCGCAGGCCCTGATTGCCTGATCAGGGCCTGCCAGAAAACTCTCAGTCCCTTCCCCCCGGCTGGCAGGCTCTGATTGCCTGATGGTGGATGGAGAACCGGGGGTGGGTAGCAGTGGGGTGGGGGGGGGGGGGGTCGGCGACTGCCGGCAGCCAGGGAAGATGGCCCTGATCTCAGGCCAGGCCTAGGGACCATACTTGCGCACAAATTTTGTGCACCAGGCCTCTAGTCTATGATAAACAAAATTTTTAAATGTTAAATAAGGCAGGACCTAACCCTGCACTTGTAGAGCCAAGCCTCACTCATCTTGCCTCACTCTGTCCCTTTTTTTTATTTTATTATTTTATTTTATAAGACTCCATTGACTTTATTATTTTTGTAATATAATTCTTTAGAGTTGACATTATATATGTCTCCCTTTTCCCCCCATTCACCTCCCCACAGCCTGCCTCCACCCCAGGACCTCACTGGCCCCTTGTCTGTGTCCATGGGTCATGCATTTATGCATACAAGGTCCTTGGTTGATTACCTCCTCTCCTCCCCATCCTTCTCTCTGAGATTGTTCCTTTTGTACTGTGTTTCTTTATTTAAAGGGTTGATATTTTATTTAATCTCAGATTATTTTTGTATTGACTTTGACTTTAAAAAATATTGCATCAAGATGTTATTGACTTAGTTGCTGAGCTTTTTGATGCCCCTTAAATTGTGTGACTGAGGCGAATGCCTCCCTTACTTTGCTCTAGTCCCTGCCCTGCTAAGCAATCTAAAAGATTTCTGGGGAGTAAATGGCTTATACCCAAATTTCTTCTTTGAACTTTTGTATCTCTAGCTCCTAAACCAGTGATGGTGAACCTATGACACATGTGTCAGAGGTGACACGAAAACTCATTTTTTTGGTTGATTTTTCTTTGTTAAATGGCATTTAAATATATAAAATAAATATCAAAAATATAAGTCTTTGTTTTACTATGGTTGCAAGTATCAAAAAATTTCTATATGTGACACGGCACCAGAGTTAAGTTAGGGTTTTTCAAAATGCTGACACGCCGAGCTCACAAGGTTCGCCATCACTGGCCTACACTGTGCCTGGCACAGAAATGCTTCCTGACCGACTGACTTTATGAATGCACAAATGAAGATACCTACTGAAATACAAATATTTATTTGGCTGTGCAATAAAATGACATAACAAGCTAGTCAATGTATAAAATCAGGTAATTTTATAACTCAGCAATTCAAGGAACACATCAGCTATAATTTGTTCAAATATTGTTGCTCACCTGTTCTTCTGGAACACTGATTAGCTATTATAGTGAGTCTATTCTTCCTTTTATATTCTTTTATCTTTCATATTATCTATCTCTTTATCTTCTATACTGAAATGATAGGTAAAATATCCTTTTATCTGTCTTCCAGGTCACTAATTTTATTCACCCATAGCTACTTTGCTTTTGAATTTATGCACTGAGTCTTTAATTTCAATAACTATATTTATCCATTGAGTCTTTAATTTCAATAACTCTTTTTAAAAAATATATTTTATTGAGTTTTTACAGAAAGGAAGGGAGAGGGATAGAGAGTTAGAAACATCTATGAGAGAGAAACATCGATCAGCTGCCTCCTGCACACCTCCCACTGGGGATGTGCTTGCAACCAAGGTACATGCCCTTGACTGGAATCAAACTTGGGACCCTTCAGTCCGCAGGCTGATGCTCTATCCACTGAGCCAAACCGGTTAGGGCTCAATAACTCTTATTTCTAGAAGTTCTATTTTGGGGGAGATCTTTAAAAAAACAAACGGTGAGCCCTAGCCGGTTTGGCTCAGTGGATAGAGCATCAGCCTGCGGACTGAAGGGTCCCAGGTTTGATTCCAGTCAGGGGCATGTACCTTGGCTGTGGGCACATCCCCAGTAGGGGGTATGCAGGAGGCAGCTTATTGATGTTTCTCATTGATGTTTCTAACTCTCTATCTCTCTCCCGTCCTCTCTGTAAAAAATCAATAAAATATATATTTTTTTAAAAAACAGTGATTTGTTCTTGCATTTTTGGGGTTTTCTTAATCATAATAAACACTAGAGGCCCAGTGCACAAAATTCTTGCACGGGGGTGGGGAGGGGTGAGGGGAGCAGCTTCAGCCCAGCCTGCAATGACAGCAGCTTCCCTCGCCCTGGCCTCTGGCGTGAGGCTCCTCCCCTCCCTCTGCGTGGCTGAGGCGCAGATGTTGGGCTTGCGTTGCCAGGGTGACGCTGCCAGCGTCCTGCCCCAGCCACTATGGGCACCGCCATCTTTGTGGCGGAGTGATGGTTAATTTGTATATTACTCTTTTATTAGATAGGATAGTTTATATTTGGGTGCAAGATATCTGCTTGCAGTTTCACTTAATTAATAATGCTGCTATTATTTTAGTGGATAAATCATATGGTAACTCAATGTATAGTGTATATCTGATAATTATATTTCTCAAGTTCTTGAGAGTCCGATGCTGCCACTTGATAACTCTCATGGTGTTTTGTTTCTTGTTTTGCAATTTGGGACTGTGAACGCATCTTTGGGAAAGCTTTATCTGTGGGAATACCAGGCGGCAAGGAGTATGGGCCAAGAGGTTGCTCTTCCAAAGAGGTTTTATGTTTGTTTCTGTTGCATGCTTCAGGGTATCACCAGCAGAGGATCACTTTGTATGTTAATTTCTTGCCTTAGGGATTCCAGGACCCTGCAAGTGGTATAAATTCAAACCACAAATCTGAGGACAGTTCTGTAAATCCTAGAATTCTCAATTGGCTTTTTGTTTTCTGTGAGACAGATGCTAAACTAATTAAAAACAGGGGGTCAGGTAGTAACAAATGCCATTAAGGAAAACCAAGCAGGGAAATGGATAGAAAGTCATGGGAAGGGAGAGGGGCTGCTTTGAGGCAAGGCATCAGCGTCATCCCCCAAGGAGATGACATCTGAGCGAGAGAGCGCGAGTCATGGAGAGATGTCTGGGGGAAGAGACTTTAAAGCAGAGGCAGGAATGTTGCAAAGTGAATCAGAGGTATATGGTCCAGGAAAGCCAGGAAGCCAGTGTGGCCATGGATAGCGGGCAAGGGTGGCTGGAGGGGTTTGGCAGGGTGTAGATACAGGGTTCTGGTCTCTACAATCAGAAGGGCCAGGCCCAGTTCAGCTCAACTTTGATTCCCTCTGCCTTTCACCTTCTTCCTTTCTCCTTTCCTTCCCCAATGTCCTCCCCTTCTCCCCCCTTCCTTTTCCCTGGGCACACCTGATAGCTGAAGGCTCAGGAGTGAAGAGGAATTTTTCTGGAGAAACTCTGCGATGACTTTGGCCCCCTCAAAACCAAGAGCATTGTTGGAAATATTCTAAAACACAAGAAAACAGCTGTGTATGTACAAACCCCAATGAAGGGCCCTCATTAACAAATGATGTCCGAGTGGGGCTGACCGGAGACTACGCTAAGGGAGTAGGATCTCGGTGGGGAGAGGGGACTGGGGTGAAAGGATGGGAAGGATCGGTGTGGTCCCGAGGAGAGAAGAACAACAGGAGGCCGGCTTTTCTGTTGCCTCCCTGTGAGGCCCCCGAGCTGGTCTTAGCTTCTGAACTTAGCTTCAGTGATGCCCCACCTCCCCAGCTGAGCTCTAGTACTTTACATAGCACATGGCAACTTTTTTAAAACCCAAGTCAGCTATGTTTGAAGAGTTTGGCATAAAATAATTGGGAAAAACAATGAGATTAGAGTAAATAATCACTTGCCAATTCATTCACTGATTCATGAAGCATGAATCGCTGTACTGGGAAGAGGTGGGGAGATAAATGGATATAGTCCTTGCCCTAGCTGGTTTGGCTAAAGGGTAGAGCATCGGCCTGTGGACCAGAAGGTCGAGGGTTTGATTCCGGTCAAGGGCACATGCATGGGTTGCGGGCTTGATCCTCAGCAGGGGGTGTGCAGGAGGCAGCTGATCAATGATTCTCTCTCATCATTGATGTTTCTATCTAACTCTCCCTCTCCATTCCTCTCTGAAGTCAATAAAAATTTAAACAAAATATGGTCATAGTCCTCTCATGCTAGTGGGAGGGATTTCATATATATTAGCCATTATTATCTTAATTTTTGCATCTTTTTATTGTGGTAAAATAGATATAACACCATGTGCGGCATCATAACCATTTTTCAGTGTACAGTCAGTGGTCTTTAGTATATTCATATTGTTGTGTGACCATCACCATCATCTATCTCCAGGCACATTGTATTTTATGAAATTATTTCATGTCTTTTTTTAAAAAAAATTTTACTCTAAGGCAACTACACAGAAGTGAGTTCGTCTATTTAGGGGTTTATGAGGTACAAATAGAAATGGTTTCTTAGGGTTTCCTACAGCCACCAGGAGCACAGGTTCCCCTGGCCAGCCTCTGAGGTGTGACCCTCCTCTGAGAAGTCACTTCTACAGGAGAGGGGCCCCTAAACCCATTGCAGGAAGCCTGGAGGCTGGCCTGGGCTAGGGCAGGGGCCTCGGCTTGTCTCCAGGGGGCTCTGGGACCCAGGGTGTGGTGGTGGGAGCCATCAGAGCAGGCACAGTACCAGCTCCTGGAGGTAGTAGTTCTCTTGTAGCATCTCCACCAGGCTCAGGATGCCGTCCTCCATGATACTGTTGTCTGCCAGCTCCAGGGTGATCAGAGTCGTGTTGGACTTCAGCCACGAGGGGGCGGGGGGGGAAGACAGAGGTGGTTGGTGACCGAGGCAGGTCCCTGACTTTGCCCAGAACCTCCCAGCCATGCCAAAGGGTATGGAGATGCAGGCCAGCAGTTTTGGAGGAGTAGGCAGGAACCGGAGAATGGGGCAGGAGATGAGCCATCCCACCGAGGCTAGGACGGTGCAGGTGGGCAAAGTGGGTTTACAGTTGTGAGCACTCGAAACAGTTTGTTCTTGTTATTTATTAACGATTGGCTCATTTATTTCTATTACAACTGTCAACCTACTTTTGTCCACCCCTGCATGCTGATATTTTATATTTACATTTTAGATGCATATTTTCTAGGGCAATATGCTTATCCTGGGCCCCTTGACCCAAAGGGGCTCTACGGGGGAATTTGTAAGAGGAACATGAAAACAAAGCCCTGGAAAGTAAGAGGTCCAAGGATGAGCAGAACCCATTTTAATTATTTACTTAGCTTCAAGGAGAGAGGCCGGTGGCCTACTCCAAGATGAAGGAGAACTTGATACATATAATACGAATATTTTAGCACAAGGCCTGAAGCAGGAAGCATTGCAGTGCCTGCTGCCTTGAGAAGCCTTTCTCGCGGGGTAGGCTCCGGGCACAGCTGGTACCCTCTTGTAGTTAGGACCCTGCCTCGGGCTATTTGGAAGGAGTTGGACTTAAATAAATATCTAGATCCAAGCTAGTCTGCATCCCCACATAGAGGCAATGACTGGCATTGAAGCCTGAGGGATGGGGTTGGCGCTGACCGGCACTGTATTCCTCCCTCCCCTCGTGTGCCCGGTGCAGAAAAGCACAGAGAGCAGACACATCTCTGGACGTGAGCGTGTTCAAAGCAGGCCAGGCAGTGAGAGAAGCAGCAGGCGGCAAGGAGCTCTAGCTTCAGCCAAAGGGAGAAGGTGCTGGAGTGAGGGACGGTCTAGCACATTGCTACAAGGAGGGACAGTCCACACAGGGCCTTCCTGTGATGTCTGTGGTCCCAGCTCTCTGGGAGGGGAAGAATTCCTTCGTGCTCAAGGTCAAGGGAGATGGCTCAGGTGGCTTCCCAGTCTAGGTATCATCTAGCAGTATCCAGAAACGGGTTAAAGGACCGCTTCCGGAGTCACCCTGGGGCTAGCACAGCGTGTGCTACAGCCGGCAGCCGGATCCCAAGTCCATCCACAGTCATCCCACCCTCTGTGCTGAGTGTTGGGGGAACAAGACGAGCAGAGAACATCGCTGCTCTCCAGGGCACCGAGTGCAAGGGCACAGGGCCAGGCGGTTGGGGAATAGAAGTGAAGCAGCATGAAATAGGACCCTTCCTAGCGGGATGCCTTTGATCTACACCAGGCAAATCCAACATGCGAAAAGTTAAACAGCACAAAAGATAAATAAAACTTGAGTCCACCAGAATGTCACAGTAATTGTCAAGTGAGTGATACAGAGAATCAAGGAAGACAAAACTCCCCCCAAACAGGAACTACTGTCTCTGAGAAACACATGGCCCGAGTCCCGAGAGGATTTCATTATTATCCTCTGCCCCCCCACCCCCACCATGAAGCTCAGGAGGTTATGGTGCATTCCTAACACGACATGAATCAGTCTTTTAATGCTCAATAAATTTCAAGATGGCTTTGTTCTCTCTCTGCTCTTCCCTTCCTTTCCGCCCCCTCTCCAGAAAGCAGCACAACCTCACATTTTATGTAACTTCTTAGTGGGCATGAGCTAAATGCAAATGCTCTTGCATTTCCAAAGACGAGCAAGTGCTTTTTCTTTTATTAATCGAACTTGCCCTTTACTGTCCTAAGTGAACAAACAGTGTAGCGCTCACGTACGGCTGTTACATTCTCTGATTTCCTGGGACAGGAATCAGCTCCGTACATAATCAGTTAGGATTATAGAGAGCTATGATGAATTCAAGGGCAAGCGCTTGTTCGCCCATGCCAAGCCCAGGGAGGACATTATTCCTATGGGAAAACCTGACCCACTCTACGGTGTGAGCCTTAAGGATGATAACGTTGCGAAAGGCAGACCCTGAATGGAATGGCTCAGGAGTGAACCCACTTATAGCAAAGGTGAGCTCTGGGATTGAGACCCAGGCTGACCTTGTGTACCATGCTCTCGAATTAGCACCCAGGCCGGCCACTTTTCCAGGCTGGTGCCTTTGTTTCCCAAAGAGGAAAGAGCACAAACTTCCAAGGCCCAGGTCTCTAGCAACCTCCTTCCCAGGACCTATTGGGGAGTCCCTGACTGTTGGGAAAATGGGCAGTCCAGCCGAGCCTATGGCAGGGTGGGCATCCCAGATGCAATTTAGGGTCCCATCACCCTGTCAACGCCGCCCCCCCCCCCCCCACCTCTGCCAGGCTTCATGTGCCTCCACGGGCATGCTCACCACCAGGGCGATCGCAATGGCCTTAGTACCGTGGGGGCCCAGCCCGTGGTGGTTGAGGTTCATGTAGGACTCCTCCATGTTCCGGATGAAGTAGGAGACAGGCACTACGCCCACCAGTTTGCAGGCCTCCATGTACAGCTCCTTTTGCCCGGTGGTGAAATATTTCTCAGTATCTGCAGAAAAAGATGTGAATTCTCTTCTGTCTTTGCCTTATCTCCTCTGACACCAGGCCATGTTCCCTTCTGATCTGTCCCTTGGGTGTCAGTTAAGAGGGCAGCTCCAATTGGGAAGTCAGCCAGCAGTGGGAGGGAGACTCATGTCCAGAAAGCCTCAAATGGGCATCTCCCTTTGGGATGACACAAGCCCCTGGGGTTAGGCCCCAGGCTCCCCTAGAAGAAGGAGCCCCACACAGGCTTCCTGGCTTGGCCGTGTCCAGGAACTGATCACCCGGGGTGTATGAAGGCCTAGTCTCCCCTTGGGGCAGCTCTGAAAAGCCAGGTGAGAAGCTGGCGATCTGTGATAGTTGAAGGAGTCTCCATTTCCCTTTTAGTTTTGCTACCACTGCTAAGATGTGAGCCATAACCAGCATTACTGATGACTTAGAGAAATACCAACTTAAAAACCCCACGTAGGGCCCAGTAGGCTTCCCACAGGGGCAAATCAAGGCAAGATGGAGAGACCCCCAAACCATCCAGAAACAAGGAAACTTGCATGTGAGCCGGCTTTCCTCTTTCGTAGACTTGCATGTCATGTTTTTCTCTAAAAAGACCTGTGATCCCTACTTTCCCAATGACAAAGCTAGCCCAGATTACACACAGTGCTGAAGCCAGCTGACAGACGAGGCCTTCACATCTCCATTCCAACCTCCTGGAGCCTTCGTCTGTAGGCTTTAGACAGCCTGGCCCGTGGGCAGCGGGCAGTGGGCAGTGGGCCTGCCTGGATGCCGATGTCCCACTGGCAAGATGTCCCAGGCCAGCTGGGGTCTAAGCCTGTGTCTGTTTTTTCTTCAGATCCCAGGGCCTTTGGCCAAGCCACCCCAAACGTTTCTAAGGCGGACAGAGAGAGCTTTGTTGGTGATCAGACAACAGCTTGACAAGGAAGGTACTTTTGCAGGCACAGCTTCACACTGGCCTTCCCTCTGTGATGGTTATAGAGCAGGGTTTCTCAACCTGGGCACTACTGACCGACCGACCGACACTCAGTGTTGGGCGTTCCCCGCTGTGAGGAGGCTGTCGTGTGCAGTGCAGGAGATATAGCAGAATCCCTGGCCAGTAGCATCCCCCAGCCCAGTTTGCCAAGTATTCCCTGGGGTGCAAAGTCACCTCTGAGGGAGAACCATGCTCGCTGCATAGGAGAAACAGCATGAGGTGGCTGAGCAACTTCTGCTCCCTTCTCTCCCTCTTTTGCTGCCTCACACCAGCTTATATTCCCACGGGCTCCTGTCTCAGGCCGTCCCGGGAAGCCCTCCCTGCCCCGGTCCCAGCTTCTCAGCCCCAGCTGCAGGGGCACCAGGAGTGAAGCCACTCTCAGCACAGAGCTGGCACCAAATGTAATCATTAGGGGTTCTCCATTGCCAAAGCAGCATAGGGAACTCCCAGCTGTGTCCCTGGCACTGATTCTGCTCTGTCTGATTCTGCTGACCCCTTCCAGCTATATTCACTGTGGTTGTATTGTAGGGGCAGCTTGCAACCCTATTACCACTTGCAGGGGGAGGGGGTGAGGAGAGGAATGAGTAGAAGCAGGGGTTCCACATCTTCCAACCGTGAAACATTCAGTGTTGAAAGCAACATTCACAACGGACTTGAAGTGGAAAAGTAGAAAAAAGAGCAACAACCTATACATAAATTTAAAAAAAGAAAGAAAAGGAAAAAAGAATAAAGGAAGAAAGAAAGAAAGAAAGAAGGAAAGAAGGAGAGAAAGAGAGAAAGAGAGAGAGAGAGAGAGAGAGAGAGAGAGAGAGAGAGAGAGGGAGAGAGAGAAGAAAACAGAGCCACAAGGTGCCCAGGGGGGCAGGGAGCAGGTCTGTGTGCGGGGTGAATGGTATGTTGACCTTGGCGGGGGTTAGGAACTGACTGTATAGAGGAATTTGACGGTTGAATTTGGCAGAACAGCCTCGCCTGTGTTTCTACCGCCTCTGATCACCGCCCACCACCCAGCCGTCAGGACACAGGAGAGCAAGGGCCCCTGGGCCGGCCTCAGCTGGGAGGTGTGAGGCTGGCCCAGCAGGAGGGGCTGGCATTGTTCTCGCCTTGCTTCACATATGCTCTTTGTGGCATTTCCCTTGTTGGGGAGACTGGGAGGAAGAGGAAGAGGAAGGTGGAGGGGCTGTTTTCAGTAACAGAGTCTTTGCTGCAGCTGAGACAGTCCCCCACCCTCACCCCCCAGGGCCATGCACTTGGATTTGTCAGGGGCTCTCACGCAGGGGAACACAAACTCCAGTGTGAGGAGAGGAACGTCACCAGGATGCAGGTCGGGTCACAAACATGCCAGTGGTCCCTGGGATATGGAATGCTGGAGGCAGATTGGCAGGGTGGGGTGAACTTGGCATCAGTAAGCCTTGGTAAGCTCTCGGTGGCCTTGGGCAATTCACACAATCTCTTTAAGCCTCAGTTTCCTCCTCGGTCAAGGCAGGTAATATAATGCCTCCCTCCTGGGGCTGTGGCGAAGGTGACACAGGATGCCACGTGTGGAAACATTTGGGACACCAGAAATCCCCGCTCACTGACTGGTCCAGCATTCAACAAGCTGATGTGCCCACGCGGCTCACCCGCCAGGCCCCACGCCTGGGGCAGAGCCATGGCCAACTGGGGAAGCCAGGTCTGTCCCCCCACCCCTCCGAAAGCCCACTTTCACCTTCGATCTCGAGGTCTGTTTCTGAACTCTCCCGGGTGGGTTTCCCTTTATCCGAGGCCGGGGCGGTTTCAGCCTCACAGTAGAGCGTTTCATCACTGCTATGTGGTGTTGCCTGGGTTCCAGCCTCCTCTAGAAGAAAAATGCATCTCTGTGATGTTGGAAATGAAACCCGCCAGCCTTTCAGGTGGAGCCACTTCCACTTCCCTCCACCTCGGTTTCCTCCTCTGTCTCCCGGTCCGGGCTGCAGCCTTTGTCCCCCAGCTGCATGTGGCTCCAGACTCCATTCCTCCCCAGCACTGTTGCCTCCCGCCCCCAGCATCTGTGGGGTTGCTACCCCTCCTCGTGTTCTCTGGAGACTTGCTGATCTATTCCCCGCTTTGGGCCTCACTTGGACATTGGCTTCTTGCTCCCTCTTCTCTTTCTTACTGGTTTGGGTGGGGTTCAGAGTTGCTTTACTCTGAATGATGGTGAAGGCCACGGGCAGGGCAGGCGACTCGGTCAAAGGTAAAATAAACCGGAACAGGAGCGTCTCAGGAATCGAGAGGGATAACTGGATTCCTAAGAATTTGACCTAGCTTCTCCTCCTTCCAACCCTACATCTATTTTATGACCACGAAGAAGGCAGGGCTTGCAAAATCCCCCTGGGGTTAAATTCATTGCTATAATTAAATACACGTGTCCTGAGCTTCCCTCGCTTGCTAGACATGGATTTTCTGCCCCTGGGCCAGTGATCGGGGACCAGCTGAGGGTTCCTGACAGCTACACACAGGTGTCCAGAGCTCGTCCTGTATCAGCGGGAAGCAGTGGTTTGGGGAAGCCAGGCTGCACTGCCAGGTGGACTGAGCATTGGTGGCAGGGGTCCTAAGTTTTGAACACCCTGTTCTAAGGGAGTTCCTAATGAGTCCACACAGGTCTGTGTCTTTCTTAGTCCTTGTCTATAGACCCAAGCCCCAACATTTATTTCCCAGCCTGTAAGGTAAGGTCTATGTAATAAGGGGTGGGAGTAGCTAGTGGCCTGGTAGTTAGAAGACATGCAGCAGATTAGCCAGAAAATTTAGCTATCAAGAAGTGATGACTTTCTGAGCCTTAATTTCCTCAGTAGTCAAACAATTTTAGAATTCCATCCAATCTGTGGAACGCTGGTAAATGTCTAACCGGCTCTCCAGAAAAAAAATTCTGATGTGTAGTAATGGCCAATTCCAGTGGTATAAATGTTCCCGACATGGGTGATTTCAAACTGCCA